TTTGCATTCCCACCAACAGTGTAAGAGGGTTCCCTTTTCTCCACACCCTCTCCAGCATTTATTGCTTGTAGACTTTTGGATAGCAGCCATCCTGACTGGCATGTAATGGTACCTCATTGTGGCAACTCCACTCTTAAAAGGAAGCACACGAAATTTCACATGCTCCGAGCCCCAGGACAGAAGCTATATGTAAAGGAGTCTGGGTCAGACCCACTTGCTAAACTTGGGGCACCTCCTGGAGAGGCGGGAGACAACGAGGACCCTCCTTCCCAGGGGACATAAACACTGGCACTAGCCATTTTGGGGTGTTCATTCTACCATGAGGACACTGTGCTGGCAAGCCCCATTTTGGACTTCTCCCTATACCTTGTTAGAACCAGAACCCCGACCCTCCCACTGCTAGGTGGACGCCAGTCCTGACATGACCCAGGCCAAGCAGCTAACTGGAGGGAACACGGCCCCACCCACCATCAGGAGGGCTACCATAGGACCCTCTTGAGTGTCAAGCCGCCAGGGACTCAGCCCCACCTGCCAGAGGCCCCAGGATCCAGCTCCACTCCCGTGGGCTAACACTAGCCCCAGGACTCGCCACACCCACCAGTGGGTTGGCACCAGCCCTAAGCTAACCCAGGCCCTGGTCTAACCCACCAGCAGACCAACAGCAGCTCCAGACACTTTGGGCCCCTCAGCCAGCCTCCCTGGGATTCAGCCCTAGCCTGACCCACCAGCAGGTTAACACCAACTCCAGAAAATTCAAGAGCCCACAGTGAACTATGTTGGGACCTGACCCTGCCTACCAAGGCTATTATCAAAAAAAAAAAAAAAAAAAAAACCCACGAATATCAAGTGTTGGTGAGGATGTGGAGAAAGGGAATGCATGCGCACTGTTGATGGGAATGTAAATTGGTATAGCCACTATGGAAAACAGTACAGTGATTTCTCAAAGAAATGAAAATAGAGCTACCATACTACTCAGCAATTTCACTTCCAGGCATTTACTTCCCCGCCAAAAAAAAAAAAACTAAACTAAAAACACTAATTTGAAAAGATATATGTGCCCACTGTTCATTCTAGTACTATTGACAACAGTCATGAAGGGCATTCCCTGGTGGCTCAGTGGTTAGGGCTCCAAGCTGTCACTGCTGAGCTTCAGTCCCTGGCTAGAGAACTAAGATCTTACAAACCATACAGTGCACCAAAAAATATATATATATATAGCCATGATACGGAAGCAACCTAAGTGTTCATCAGTAGATGAATGGATAAAGAAGATGTGGTATCTGTATACAATGGAATATTATTCAGCCAAAAAAACTAATTTCACTCTTTTTTTACTCTTCTTTTGTGACAACATGAATGGATGTAGGGTATTATGCTAAGCGAAATAAGGCAGACAAAGATAAATACTGTATGATTTCACTTATATGTGGAGTCTCAAAAACAAAACAAATGAACAAGCGTAACACAGAGTAGTCATAGATACAGAGAACAAATAGGTGATTTCCAGAAGGGAGAGGGATGGGAAGAGGAGTGATACAGGTAGTGGAGATTAAGAGGTACAACCTTCTCTTTATAAAATAAATAAGTCACAAGGGTCTAATATACAGCATGCGGGATATAACCAATAATAATATTACACTGCTTTTGTATAATGATAGATGATAACTAGACTTCTGATCCTTTTATGATGCATAAAAATATCAAATCACTCTTATATATCTGAAACTAACATAATATTGTAAGTCAATTATACTTAGACTTTAAAAAATCACAAATCCTCATTGGCAGAAAAGAATAAAACCAAACAAAAAAACCTCAGAAAAATCCATGGCAATTAACATCCCAGGTGCCTATGATAGCAATAGGAGTTGGGCCCCTTATTTAAGGGGCTGTTGAACAAAACATTTTAAAAGAAAAATCTGGTGAATAAGAAGTTTTGGGGGGCTTTTAAAAGCTCAACCTACTCCTTGGAATCTAGAAAGCCACCTGTATGTACCGGGCTCTGACTATGTCCAGGGAAGACCTGAGAAGGTCCTAATTTTTCCACCTCTGACTAGCCGCGAGATTCTGCATGAGAAGAGAATGAAGGCTAAGGTGGGGTTGTGAAGTGCCTGTGAGAACACTGCAAGCAAGTCCCGAAATGCACAGAGGACCCCTTGGGGTTCCTACTGGGAACCTACTGGCTGGGAGACTCGCTGGCTCAAGAAATTTAAGGACATGTACCTCCAATCATTAGCTATTCACCAGGCTAACGGAGCAAAGACTTCAGTGGCTGTACACAGCCAAGAATATCGACTCTATAACTAGTCCAGGGAAGTCACTAAAAAAACAAGCAGCGACTACAGTGACACCCACAATCCCAAACAGCGACAACAACGAACCCTGGTTAGGGGGAGGGGAGGGAGGGGATGGTCTGATTATCAGAGTTTTCACAACACTTTATTTTAAAAGCAGTATGTAACCAACAAGGAAAAGAAACCAAACTACGAGACGTGTAAAGAAACAGGAGAGTGTGTTTCACACTCAGGGGTATTTGAAGCACATCAGGGAAGAACTGGCAACCTCTTGGTTCCCCTGCACCTGCAGGACATCTAATAGGCACCTCCTTGTTTTATTCACTACGTGCTTGCTGGTGCCATCAGAGAACTTTCTCTTTTTTTAGTCTGTTTTAGGAATTCTGATGACTGAATGTTTTCAAAATGACTTTTCTAAGAAAAGAAAGAAAAGAAGAAGAATTGCTAAACACAACTTTTGGCTGAAAAGAAACTCTTTGCACAGATAAAATTCTTGCCACACTTCATCATACAACTTGTTCTGCTACTGTCATGAGAAAGGGACCTCCTCGGGCCATCATCAGTCATCATCTGCTACACAGACGGGCGCTGATAACAGAGACTCCTCAGGTTACCCTGAAGACATTTGTTAGCATGCCTGCTCAGGCACTTAAGTCGTGTCCAGCTCTTTGTGAACCCATGGACTGTAGCCCACCAGGCTTCTCTGTCCATGGGCCTTTCCAGGCAAGCATACTGGAGTGTGCGGCCATTTCCTCCTTCAGGGGATCTTTTTAACCCAGGGATCAAACCCACATCTCCTATGTTGGCAGGTGGATTTTTTATTGTATAGGCAGGTGGATTCTTTATCACTGAACCACCAGGGAAGTCCTTTAGTCATAGAGGCAAGACAATTATTAGAACCAGATCTCTGAATTGCCACATCTTTTAAAGGATTTTGTCAGGAAATGGAAACATGGGGGAGATGACTGCACTCACACTCAGAAGAGGGAACCTTTAAAAGCACTTGAACTAAGCAGAAGTTTCCTTTTCTCTATGAGAAAAAGAAACCCCATTCTTGTTTGACTTTGGGGGGGAAATATCCTTTAGTTGCATTACCTGCCAGTTAGTTACACTTACATGAATGAAATAAACCTTTCCATTAAAATCTCTACAGTCACCACCATGGATACTATTGAAAAATTATACGCTTTCTCAGCTAAGCTGCTGAGATGAAATAAAGAGAGCATGACTGGCATCCTTCTAACTTTCTCATAAAAACATTTTTTATAGCAGTTTTAGGTTCACAGCAAAACAGAGCAGAAAGTACAGAGATGTCACATACGCTCTCAGGCTCCACATATACACAGTCTTCCCCGCTTGTCAACACCCTATACCAGAGTGGTACACCGGTTACAATCAGTGAGCCTGCACTGACACATAATTATCACCCAAAGTCCATACTCTGCATTGTTTAACTCTTGGTGTTGTACATCCTATGCATTTTCACAAATGTATAACAAATCCACCATTATAGTATTATACAGAGTAGTTTCATTGCCCTAAAAATCCTCTGTGCTTCACCTCTTCATCCCTCCCTCTACACTAACCCGTGGCAACCACTGATCCTCTTCCTGTCTCCAGAATTTTGCCTTTTCCAGAATATGATACAGTTGGAATCATATAGTATCAGACTTTTTGGATTAGTATCTTTCACTTAGTGATGTACATTTAAGGTTTTATAACTCATTTCTTTTTAGCACTAAATAACATTTCATTGGTTATGGAATGAAGTTGGTTTTATAGTTCCACATCTTTTCATGGTTTCATAGCTCATTTCTTTTTAGTGCAGAATAATGTTCCATTGTCTGAATGTATCACAGTTTATCTATTCACCTACTGAAGAACATCTTGGTTGCTTCTAAGTTTTGGATAAAGCTATTATAAACATCCATGTACAGGTTTTTGTGTGGACATAAACTTTCAACTCATTGGGGTAAATTATCAAGTAAAGAGATTGCTGGATTATATAGTAAGAATATGTTTATTTTTTGTAAGAAACTACCATACTGTCTTCCAAAGTGACTATACCATTTTGCATTCCCACCCGCAACGAATGCGAGTTCCTGTTGCTACTCGCCCTTGCCAGCACTTGCTCCTGCAGCATTTGCCCTTGCAGCATTCTAGATCTCGGCCGTTTCTAAGAGGCATGTAGTGCTATCTCGCCGTTTGGTTCTGTTTTTCCCAATACTTTAATTTCAGGACAAAAACAAAACAAAATTCAGAACAAAAACACAACACACAATTTTCAAACCCCATGTCAAACATGGATAGGGATAGGGCTTGCTTGAGGCCTTTATATCCTGTCTTAGACAGAAGGACAGAAATAAAACCACTAGACATCAGCAGAGGGAACCACGTGGGCCAGGGCCACTAGGGCTGCTGCTGGGGGAGCCATGGGGATGCTATACAAAGGGAGCAGGCTGCAGGTAAAAACTCCTAATCTACTTCTTTCATGTGAGAGGCATCCTCGTCACCCTCAAGGCGGGGAATCTCATCAGGAACAGCAGCACTGGGCTCCTCTGCCGTCACCTCGTCTTCATCAGTGCCCAGGCCAAGCTTGATTATGCAGTAGACATGGTTGGAGTGGGTCTGGGGATGCTCAAGCGAGAAGCCAGCGGAGAGCAGTGCAGTTTCAAACAGCAGCACCACCAGGTCCTTGACGGCCTTGCCGTTTACGTCTGCCTCTTGCCTTCTGCTGCAGGGTCTCCATGACGGGGTGGTCAGGACTGATCTCCAGGCGCTTTTTGGCCACCATGTGGTCCGTGGTCAAGTTGCCCCAAAGTGCCTGAGCTTTCATGATGCACTTCACGTTGGCTGTCCAGCTGCAGGTGCTCGCCACAGTGCAGCAGGGTGAAGACATGATCTCCTGTTGGGAGATCGTCGCCTTCGCCACCTTCTTATCCAAGATCTCTTTCATGAGTTTGCAGAGGTTCTCAAACTTGGCCTTGCTCTCCTCCATCTTCTTCTTCTCCTCCTTGTGCTCAGGCAGCTCCAGGCCCTCCTTGGTCACGGAGACCAGACTCTTCCCATCAAACTCCGTGAGCTGCTGCACACAGTGCTCATCAATGGGCCCCATCATGTACACCACCTCAAAGCCACGCTTCCGCACGTGCTCCCCCAAAGCAGAGTTAACCTGCTCTTTGCTCTCACCAGTGATGTAACAGATGGACTTCTGGGTCTCCTTCACGTGAGACACGTATTCTGAGAGAGAAGTCATCTCATCTCCAGACTGGGAGGTGTGATAGTGCAGCAGCTCAGAAAGGCATCGCCAGTTAGTGGAGTCCTCATGGATTCCAAGCTTCAGGATTTTAGAGAATGCCTCATAGAATTCCTTATATTTCACCTTGTCTTCTGCCAGCTCAGAAAAGAGTTCAAGGCACTTCTTAACACTGTTCTTACGAATAACCTTCCAAATTTTGCTCTGCTGGAGCATTTCTCTGAAGATGTTCAGGTGAAGGTCTTCAGAGTCACCCACCCCATGGATGAAGTTGAGATATTCTGGAATCAACTCATCACAGCTGTCCAGATGGACACAGGATGGACACACAGTTTGGTGTTGTTCTTTTCCTTTTTGTTCTCAAAGAGGTCAAAAGGAGCCTGACAGGGGATGAACAGCAGTGTTCTGAATTCCAATTGACCTTCTACAGAGAAGTGCTTTACTGCCAAGCGATCTTCCCAGTAATTGGTAAAACTCCTGTAGAACTCACCATATTCCTCCTGGGTGATGTCATCAGGGTTTCTGGTCCAAATGGGCTTGGTCTTGTTCAGTTCTTCCTGATCAATGTACTTCTCCTTTATCTTCTTTGTCTTCTTTTTCTTATCTTTGCCACTATCATCCTCCTCATCTGAACCCACATCTTCAATCTTAGGCTTCTCTTCATCATATTTATCTTCCTCTTCTTTCTCACCTTTCTCTTCTTCAGCCTCATCATCACTGATTTCCTTCTCACGTTCTTTCTCCAGACAGAGTTTGATGGGATAGCCTATGAACTGTGAGTGCTTCTTCACCACTTCTTTGACCCACCTCTCTTCCAAGTACTCTGTCTGGTCTTCCTTCAGGTGGAGAATCACTTTGGTACTCCGGCCAATAGGCTCACCATGGTCAGCACGGACAGTGAAGGAACCCCTAGCAGAAGACTCCCAGGCATACTGTTCCTCATCTTTATGCTTTGTTATCACAACCACTTTCTCTGCCACTAGGTAGGCAGAGTAGAAGTTCAAAGTTCAAAGTGAAGTCGCTCAGCCATGTCCGACTCTTTGCAACTCCATGGACTGTAGCCTACCAGGCTCCTCCGTCCATGGGATTCTCCAGGCAAGAATACTAGAGTGGGTTGCCATTTCCTTCCCCAGGGGATCTTCCTGACTCAGAGATCGAACCCAGGTCTCCTGCACTGCAGGCAGATGCTTTAACTTCTGAGCCACCAGGGAAGCCAGGCAGAGTAGAAGCCCACACCAAATTACCCAATCATGGAGATGTCTGCACCAGCCTGAAGAGCCTCCATAGATGCTTTAGTACCAGACTTGGCAATGGTTCCCAACTTATTTACGAGGTCAGCTTTGGGCATGCCAATGACCGTGTCTACCAGAGTTGGAGTATGCTCCTGGGGGTTCCGGATGATGTCAATTTTCAGCTCTTTACCACTGTCCAATTTGGAAGGGTCTGTCAGGCTCTCATAGCAAATCTTGTCCAAGGCATCTGATCAACTCCAGAAGAAAAATTTCCTTGTTGGAATAGAAGGTACTAATGATAAGAGACATGAGTTGGGCATTTTCTGCCTCTAAGGCAAATGGCTCCACCTCCTCCTATCCATGGCGCACTTCCTCAGGCAAGCTCAAGGACAGGGATCCAGGCACCAGAGAGCACTGAGCGGGCAAGGGCTGCCTCAGGCTCACTTGCTGCAAGAAGGCTGCACAGGAGTGACTCGAGAGCCTCAGTTCAGTTCAGTCGCTCAGTCGTGTCCGACTGTGCCACCCCATGAATCGCAGCACGCCAGGCTTCCCTGTCCATCACCTGCTCCCAGAGTTTACTCAAACTCATGCCCATCGAGTCGGTGATGCCATCCAGCCATCTCATCCTCTGTCGTCCCCTTCTCATCCTGCCCCCAATCCCTCCCAGCATCAGGGTCTTTTCCAATGAGTCAACTCTTCACATNTTTAAGCCAACTTTTTCACTCTCCTCTTTCACTTTCATCAAGAGGCTCTTTAGTTCTTCTTTGCTCTCTGCCATAAGGGTGGTATCATCTGTATATCTAAGATGATTGATATTTCTCTGGCAATCCTGATTCCAGCTTGTGCTTCCTCCAGCCCAGCGTTTCTCATGATGCACTCCGCATAGAAGTTAAATAAGCAGGGTCCAATATTTGCCATGCCCCAAATTTCCAATTTTGAACTCCGTAATAACTGCATATATCATTACAGAATGAAACACAAAATCATATTCTTTAAAAATCAAGGTAAATCCACAGATTTTCTAGTTTCATTGCAATGCTTTTTAAAAGATCTTTTGAAATGTAAAGGGCCTTCAATACAAAAATCCCCAAATTTGGAAACAACATTTTTGTTAGAAAAAGAAACATTATTTTTAAATGACCACATTGACAAAGAACAGAAACTCCCCGTTCTTTCCAAGAATCTAGACTTTTGCCTTTGGAAGATTGTAAGTGCTTGGTCTCAAGCCCAAACTTCTTATCAACTCCTTGGTTTCTTCTTATTGACTCCAATTAAATTCCCTTCCTGACTTTTAAACTCTGCCAGGAGTGAGGGGCGGGAGGGCGGGCGGGCAGTGAGGATCATTGCTTTAAACTGAATTAAAACCAATTTAATTCACCAAACTGATATAATTTCATTCACAGACCTTCTAGCTAAAATTCATCAAGTACATGAAATCAAAATGGCCCCATCCATGGTCTTCTTCCCAGAGCAGTTCCTCATGACTGGGGCAACACCTGGAGCAACACAGATGGGAGGCAGCAGGACCAGGGAGTACACCCCAGTGTAAGGCCTTCTGGGGGGTATTTCACAGCCTCCTATGTGGCCAAGGATTCTCGGGCTTTGCTCCATCTCTTAGCTGTTTCCAGTTGAGAAAGCCTGCATTCTACAAGATGAAGAGTTAAGGATGGGAAGAATATGTCCTCTTCTGCAGTTTAAAAAAATAAAAATAAAATTTCTTCATGTCTTCTGCCAGATGGCAAGGTTCACCTGGCTTGTGACCCAGGGGCAAATCTAAACCCTTTTCATGGGCCCTCAAGGCCAGTAAGACACGGCTTCCACCTCACCCACACCACCCTCTGAGGCATCACATATATGCCCCATAGATATGTCACACAGTTTTGTGATTGCTTTGTTTTGCCTTCACGTATTAGTTTCCCAGGGCCACTGTAACAACATGTCGCCAGCTGAGTAGCTTAAGCAACAGACATGTACTGGCAAACTTTCCCAGAGGCTACAGTGAGATCAAGGTGTCAGCAGGGTTGGTTCTCTCCGAGGGCCATGATGGAAGATTTTGTTTCAGACCTCTCTTGAAGCTTCCAGTGGTTTTCAGGCCATCTTCAGCATACTTCGGCTTGTGGAAGCATCACAAGCTTGCTCTTTGCCTTCAAGTTGATGGGGTGTTCTCCTTGTGTTGTGTCTTTATGAAAAACAAAATTTAACTGAGTAAACATCAAAGATCTTATTGGCTCTGTGCAAAGATTCATGATTCAAGATTCAAGCAGCATCAACAATCTAGCAGGTGGAAAGTTTCCCTGAACAGTTATACAAGGCTATAGATTTTATAGGCAGACTAGAGTGGGAATAAAGAAGTTGTACTAGGCAAAAAAGCAGATTGTTCGTTGCAAGATGACTTTCCTTAGAGGGGATGGCAAGGGTCTGCCAGGCAGATTACCTGACTAATGTTGGTCAAGCGATTCTTGATTGACTAGGGTAAGATTCCACTTCTGGGAGAGCTGAAACTGTAATTAAAGTCTTAGTTTGGTGATTTGGGGCTTAGCATAAATGACTCCATTAAGGGCCTGTTGTCTTTTCAACATCTTCATATCATCTCCCTTCTATGCACATCTGACTCTGTGTCTAAATTTCGCTTTATAAGCCCACCAGTCATACCAGACCACGCATGTGTGTGCCTGTGGACAGTTGCTCAGTCATGTTGGACTCTTTGCAACCCCACGGACTGTAGCCCACCAGGCTCCTCGGTGCATGGGATTTCCCAGGCAAGAATACTAGAGTGGATTGCCATCCCCTTCTCCAGGGGATCTTCCCTACCCTGGGATCAAACCTGGATCTCCTGCATTTCAGACAGAATCTTTACCACCTGAGCCACCAGGGAAGCCCTTATTGCCTAATAAGGTCACACTCTGAGGTCCTGGGGGTCAGAGTTGGTGGGACACAATTCAACCTGGACACTTGGGCACACACTGAGCTGTACGAGCTTTGAGGACAAGCTGTCCCGTCACCCACTTTAGCCCCAGAGCCCCATTAACACCTGTCACATGTGTCAAACATTCAGTTAAGTATTTGCTGATGGGCTTCCCTGCTGGCTCAGATAGTAAAGAAGCCGCCTGCAATGTGGGAGAACTGGGTTCGATCCCTGGGATGGGAAGAACTCCTGGAGAAGGGAATGGCAATCCACTCCAGTACTCTTGCCTGGGAAATCCCAAGGATGGAGGAGCCTGGTAGGCTACAGTCCATGGGGTCGCAAAGAGTCGGACACAACTGAGCGACTTCACTCATTCACTCACTCAGAACTACTGTGCACAACCCAGCAATTCTACTTCCAGACATAAACCCAAAAGAGGTGAAAGCAGAGACTTGAACAGATATTTGTACAGCACATTCATAACAGCATTATTCACAGTAGCCAGAGATGGAAACAACCTCCCACTACATATCTTCTTCTATCTGAATTACTTGACCAGATGCTAGCACTTTTTTCTCTTCCAATTCTTCCTCCTCCTGCCGCCCCCCTTTCCCCAGTAAAGGAGGATTTAAAAATTCAGAAGTGGTTATCGTCGCCTTAAAGAGAAAATTATTCCAAGGAGAAGTGAACCATCCTCAGTGCTTACTCAGCAGAACCCTGAGCCTTGGTTGAGGAATTTCCCAACTCAAGTCAGGATCCGTTGGAATGTGCTAATAAACTCAAGTTAACCATCTGCTCCTTTGAGCCGAGGTTTTCAGATGTATATCAGTTAAAACAGCTGTTAGCTTCTGAAAGTAAAGCAACGGCATGAAAAAAGAAAAAAGGATGGAAACACCTCTTAGTGAACTTTGAATCACATACTCCAGAGGCTCACACTGAATACAAGGGATTAGCTCAGAAACTACTTGAACTTAATCCAGAGCTTTTTCCAAAAACTGTAGACTAGACAGAGATTCAACAGTGTAAGCAAAGATCAAACGAATAAATTCTGGACTATTAAGAAAGGTTTGGGGAAAAAAAAAGAAAAAATTTAAGCAATATTATGGCTTGAAACCTGAGTCATTCTCTAACCACCAATATGACCCTTTGCTTAATTCTGTCTTTTCAGAAGGCTTAGATGAGGATTTGGCTACTGAGTCAAAAGACAGTCTAGGTTGGTCTGAGTTATACATACATGCTCTTGTTATACTGGCTGACCAACTTTTCAAAACCATTAAAAGAAAAAAAGGAGGTATCTATGAAAAGTATGAACCTTCAACTGCACCAATTAATACACAATGCCTGTTGAAGGTTCAGCGACCCCCAACTGGTTTAATTCCCAACCAGTAGAGAAGCTAGCTTGAAAGAAAATAGTAATAAGTCCTGAGGAAATAAGTCCTATTTGAAGAACCTGATTTTTGCTCCCTGATACCTGAGACCAGAGCTGTCAGGATCACTTACCTAGACCATCTCTAATTTTTGAAGCTGAAGGGGGACAAAAGGGTATGAAGCCTTTAAAAATTTTTTTTTTACTCCAACTGCTATTTACAAACTAGTGAGTTTTACATTGTCATATCTGACTCATGACTAGGTTTAGAAAATGAAGTTAGGTCTCTCATTGTATCTGTCTGAATATATGTATGTCTTAAGAGTCGTCAATATAATAATCAGTATAATACTTTCATTGTGCCTAGGTTTAATATAAGCTAACTAAGATCTTATTATATGTGTTGCAAATTTGTCAGCAAGGAAAATAACTCAATATGAAGAAACTTTTAAGGAAAGAAAACGTAATAAGATAAGAATTGTAAAGAGATAATGTAAAGAGATACAAAAAAATGGAGTAAGATAATGGAATAAGAGAAAGTTTATTGAATAGCTAGTCACTCCTAAACAAGATAAGGTACTGAAACATTTAATACTAAACACTGGTCCCCTCTTACAGAAAACCTAAAGATGTTTAGGAATACTAATGAATATGTTTGGTGCCATCATGAGAGGTTCTCTACAAGAAAGCAAATATTTTTAGAAATTTTTTCTAAATTATCTAAATTAATATCACAGGTATTTATGTTCATCAATCTACAGAATACTAATATAAATGACAGTTGATGGTTGCTTAAGGAAAGTAGGATGCGTATTCTCAGTAAAGATGGCATGTAAATGGAATTGCATTTTATTAAGAAAAAAGGAAGTAGGTCTGGTTTACAGATGGCTGTTTCTGAATGGGCAAATTAAGTGATAGCTACAGAAAGTGAGGAAGGTTTGCAGAAAGCAGACCCCAGGAAAAGAGTTTCATGCATGGTACAAGTTTTCTTAAGATGCTGAACTGCCTTTGATAACAGATTTTAAGTTTATTTACCTCTTAAGTGATCTGTTCTGTAATTGGCCTTTGGAAACTTTGGTACTTCAGCTAAGTGAATAACTGTTGTTTCACAGTGACCTATGATCCTATCTGACTGAGTGTTCTAAACTCTTCTGACATTTATTGACAAAATTTTCTAAATCAAAATTTAATGAAGTCCTTTGACTTCTAGTTAACTTTGGGATGCTTCAAAGGGCCCCTGAAACATCCCAAAGAGAGATATTAAACTAATTGGGGTTTTTTTTGGCACATTAAATAACATGAGAAGTATTGTCAATAAGTAATAAATCTTCTTAGGTTATGTTGTTATTCAGTTGCCCTGTTGTGTCCAACTCTTTGTGACCCTATCGACTACAGCACACCAGGCCTCTCTGTCCCTCATCATCTCCCAGAGTTTGCCCACGTTCATGTTCATTGCATCAGTAATGCCATCTAACCATCTCATCCCCTGACACCCTCTTTTCCATCTGCCCTCAATCTTTCCCAGCATCAGGGACTTTTCCAGTGAGTCAGTTGTTCCCTTCAGATGACCAAAATACTGGAGTTTCAACTTCAGCATCAATCCTTCCAACTAGTATTCAGGGTCGACTTCCCTTAAGATTGACTGGTTTGATCTCCTTGCTGGCCAAAGGACTGTCAGGAGTCTTCTCCAGCACCACAGTTCAAAGGCATCAATTCTTCAGAGCTCTGCCTTCTTCAAGGTCCAGCTCTCACAACTGTATGTGACCACTTAGGTTATATTGTACAGTAAATATTACTAATGTAGATATCCTAGAAATTATATGGAGTTTCTAAAATTCTGAAATGGAGTAAAATGTCATCAGTCATAATTCTAGTTACTGTCTACAAGTGTTGTATGTCACAGCAGTGACCAAGTTACTTTGTCAATTGAATTGCCATCAGATTTTAAATGTGCCTTTTTAAGTCTGTTGTCACTGTGATTTCACTGATGCCTTTGCAAAAGTACTTCCTTTTTAAGATTAACAGAAAGAACCTTCTGAAGTTTCTAACCTTCAGGACCAGAATGCTGAACTG